TTCAGCCAGAGCCCTAGGGATTTCATGTGTTTGCTTAGTTCCCCAAGGAGGAACCGTGGGTGAATGTGGGTTAGATGTGTGAGTGGGTAGGACCCTGCAGTGTGCACACCAGACCATTCATAGCCATGTGGCTCAAATGTTTGAAAGCCAAAGGTATGTTCATACAGGGCCCCGGTATGTTTTTATAGCTCCTCAAACCATTTACCCACCTCAGCAGGACGTTTTTAGTGCCAGCGTTAGAATTTCTCTTTTCTCCTAAAAGAGTGACTTACATTGCAAAGTAGTTTCTGGGCTCAGTAAGCTGCAGGGTTGGTGCCTGGACATTTTTAAAGATAGTTTATTAAAGATGGAGGATCCAGCTTGGTGAAATCCTGAATCCTACAAATTTTATTTAAAAGCTCAGCTCCAACTACATTTTGAGCAAAAAAAAAAAAGAAAATAGTTGGTTTTAAAATATGTACATACATTTATTTGTTGGGATCTCTGCCGAGACCTGGAAGTAATTGCGGGAATACAGGAGCCTGGAGAATTCCCAGGAAGGCTGGCAAGAGGAGGTCCTGAAACTCTTCAGGGAGGACTGGTCCAGCTGGGAGCTTGGGCCCTGGTTGGCTCAAGAGTTCCAGGAAGTGAAGGCTCTTATTTCTGTGTTTGGCTGCCCAGAAAAAGATAAATTTCATAACTAACTTCTATCTGAACATGAATACACCAGGAGAGAAAATTATGGCTCTATGGTATTTTTTTGTTTGTTTTTCAAAGCTATTTGAATTCCATCCAGTTCTGTTATAATGAAGACTATTCTCTTTAATTTGATGGGGGGTATATTTAACATGCTCTCCACTTCTAGAATCAGGAGCTGCCAAATTCAAGTCAGATCACTGTGCTGTTGGTCACTATTAAAACCCCAAATGAACAAATAGGAAAAATATTTTGAACCATGCCTTGAGCTATCTGCAAATAAGAGGCTGACCTGGGATGTAGAGCTTTTGACTTCTTGATAGTTTGCTTGTGAGTTTATTTATTTCATTACTTTCCTCTCTCTGGCCCATTTGCTGCTTATTTGGACACAGAGGCCAGTGACTTTACCACCGATAGCTGGCAGGACCAGCTAGGGCACTGCCTCTAGAAGGGCCCCATGCTTGGCTTATGCGCTGCTGTGACTGTCTTGAAATTTTTCATACTTTTGGGAAAAGGGACCTATATTTTCATTTTGTATTGGGCTCTGCAAATTATGTAGCCAGTCCTACAGGCCAGACGTAATCCTGTTCATATGCCTGGCTGGGTAACAGGCCTTTCTTCCTTTCCTCCCTCCTTTTCCATACACGTCAATCTGGCGCCGCTCTGATGACCTGGATGGCAGCTCCACCCCTCACAGCCTGACCCTGAAGGTTTGGCCAACGTGGGAAGATTGAGAGCTGTGCCTGTACAATCCAGATCCGACCAGGCGCCACATGCTCTGGTGCTCAGGCTCAGGACCCAGGAAACCCCTGAGGAGGACCCATGTGCCGAGCACTAACAGTGCCAGCGTCACCTACAGCCATGAGCTTCTGTATGGCCACTCAGGAGGTGTCAGTGCTGACCTGGGGTGAGTTGGTGAGAGGCATTGTGTCAAAAATAAAAAGAAATACAACTGGATGCTGAGGTGATGAAGACCCAAAGCTGCAGCGAGTAAAGAGTAAAGATCTGTCTTTACTAAGTGACACGTGCAGAAAGAGGACATGGAAACAGGTGTTTTCTGCTATTTGTCCGCATTGGCATGCCCTCTGTTCACTTGGTGAAGCCCCTCCTGGTATTCCTTTATGCTGAAATGTAAAGGGAATTGCTCTGCTTCTTAAGACCTAGCTGCCTGGGTGCCTTCTTTAGACAGGATTTTGGAGTGAAATGTCAGGGTCAGGAACCACATTCCTGGTCAGTGTGTGAAGACTGAGCACCCTGGTCACAGGGGCCAACGGACACAAGCAAAACGTGATGTACTAGGAATCTGGATCACAGAATCAGCAAGCAGGACCGAGTGCAGGATTGCCCAGTGTGTGGTGCTTGTCGCCGAGGGTGAGGTGGGCGGCATCCGTGGGGCCCGTGTCTGCCCTGTTGCCTGTTTCTAATTCACCCAACGGCAGGGAATGGGCCAGCTCAGAGTCTTCAGGTCATTCTTCACCTTAGAGCAGTGGTTCTCAACCTTCCTAATGCCACGACCCTTTACAGTTCCTCATGTTGTGGTGACCCCCAATTTCATTGTTACAAATTGAACATAATTAAAGCATAGTGATTAGTCACAAAAACAATATGTAATTATATATGTGTTTTCCGATGGTCTTAGGCGACCCCTGTGAAAGGGTCATTCGACCCCCAAAGGGGTCGCGACCCACAGGTTGAGAACCACTGCCTTAGAGTCTACCACAGGCTTTCTTAAATTTAGAAAATCATTTTTTTTTTTTCTAATTTTAAAGGTAAAAACCGGGCTTTGTGTAAAAACTTGGAAAACATGAAAAAGAATAAAGAAAAAGTATTCACAATCCTATAGCTCACTGTCCTCTTTATTAAAAGGATTTTTTTTCCTTATAAAGGAGTAAGTCCTCTGTTGCATTTAAAGGATGAGTTTATATACAAATTACATGTGTCCATTAGTCTCCTTTAAGAGATGAGCGCCTTCCTGAGGGGCACCTTTTAAAATCTACTTGGTGTCTCTTCCCACTAGATTATTATGAGTACTCATGGATTTTCTTTTTCATTTTCTTCATTGTGGTGGAAGAAGATGCTTATGCATTAGGTTTGGTCTAATTGAAACGGAGAACTGACTTAACTAAACATCCACTATTCTCTTTTTAGGATTGAAATTATTTATTATTCAAATGTATCAGGTTTGAATTGTGTAATCGGAACCTCTCAAGCTAGTACCCTTCCTGTGTTTGTCAAACTTAAATTTGTCTGGGCTGCTGAGAGTTTCCTGTGCTCCTCTTGTGAATGGGCCTGTGGCTCCAGGTCCCGCAGGCCCATCTTGGAGTGGCCAGGGTAGCGGTGTCAGCCGGAGAAGCAATTGTCACATGGCTTGTTTCTTCTCGCTTTCGTTAAAAGATCATTAAAGCCCTTTGTGTTTGTGGGACTTGAAAGACAAGGGGACCTATAGTTAACTTGAGAGTTAAATTATAACTTGGTACCCCTCTGCAAAGACTTCTTTTTAAAAAAAGAGAGAAAATCAATGTCTACATTGGGTGGCGGAGCCCCTTTCTCATACATCTGCTCTTTCTACTGTCATCCGATATCCCTTTCAACCTTTAAAGAAAATGATTTGTTGTGTGAACTTGGGTACAATCACTATTTGCTTTTTTTGTTTTTGTGTTGAAGCTTTAAAAGTTCCACCGAATGTATTCCATTTAATTCAACCAGCGTTTCAGCATGATAGGCACCTTCCAAATAGGGGTGGGAGAGGAGTAAAAAGAAAAGCAGAGGGCCTTGGGGTGTACCTCGGAGTGTACCCCAACTAGCTGTGTAAGAGGACTCACATTCCTAGACACACACGGAGCACTCATTACTGTAATCACAAAACCCTTTTAATCTCCACGACAGGGATGCTGGTAATATTGGGGCAGCTGACTTCACTGGCAGTTTTCTCCAAAGCCGAGACAGAGGCCCCTGTTCATTGGCTTCGGTGTATGACAGCATCACCCCCGGCTCGTCAGGGCAGCACCATTAAGTCCTCTTTGTCCTCCTGAGGTTTCAGAAGCCATCCCAAGGGCCTTGGTCAGGATGGGGCCCAGGAGCCTTGGTTTCCTTCCTTCCCCGGGAATTTCTCTGGGCTGTCAGGAACTTGCAGGCCGTGGTTGTGGGGACCCTCTGGGACTGATGGGTCTCTAGTTCTATCCTGTGGATGCAGGTAGAGTGGACAGAGTGGACTAGGGCCAAGTCTCCTGCTGGGCTCCCGAGACGTCCGCGAGGAAGGGCCCGGAGGCCCTGGCCAGGGTCTAGGTTTCTGGGGGTTTGGACCCTGTAGGCTTCTGTGTCTGATGAATGACCACTAACTTGTCGTAATGCAGAAGCTAGACCTCCTTTGGAAGTGCTACTTTATGTTGCTGAACATCCCTTTGGCGTAATAGCGTTCAATTCCAGGCCGGAGTGAAATACAGATTAGATAACCTGCCCCCAGGTAGCTGTGTAAAGTTCATATGGCTTAGTTGCCTCGGCCTTTCTTGCTAGAGACCTTTATCCTTAGGCCATGGAGCTTAGTAGCTGTCTTAGCTCCTAAGTCTTCCTTAACACAATCGATGCATTTCAGAAATGTTGCAGGGGAGACCATATTTGTCCAAAGCAGTTTTAATTTTATAGGCAGCAGAGTTGCTTTTTAAAGAATCAAGTCAGGCATTATTTTCTAAAGAAAGCTGTCAATCTCCACTCCGTTTATCTTCCAGATCAGATCTTTTAGAGAACTTATATATTCATTAAACATTAAGCTAACAATTATCCATTAAAATGATCCTGTGCATCTGCTAATTACACGTCCTTCTACCACCGAACCGGAAGAGTACTTTTAACTGCCACATTTGCATTTTGAAAAGAAGCTATTATTTATATGCATTTTTGGGAGACTATTTTACTATGATGGGTAGCATTTTCCTCTCTCTCTTGTTCCATTTTCAGATGTTAATCATTAGTCATTCCTTCTGACCTCTCCATGCAGTAGCCCAGAACAGAGTTCTTAAGGGCTGCCCACTGGAACAATGGTGGGGAGGGGCGTTGAGGGTTACAAATGACCTGGGGTCAGGTCTTGGGTCAAAAAAGAGGAAAGGTTAGTCTAATGGTCAGCCTCCAGGTCCTGGAAAGGCAGGCCCCTCCAGGCTATGGACTTGGAGGAGGAAGACTGTCCCCAAGCCATCCTGGCTGTGCTCGGGAAGACAGGCCGTGCAGGTTCCCAGAAACCCCTTTGATTCGCTGCCACTTCCACATGATGTTTAGTAATAAACAGAGTTCAATGACCAGTCTAGACAAACAAATCATGGTCCTGGCAAACCCTGCCTTCTGATGACATGTTGTGTCTTCGCCATGGGGAGAGGAGGAAGCCAGCTTTGAAACTGTAACGCAGTGCCTTTGTGAACGGCGCAGCAAACAGAGGCGGAGCTGGGATGCAGACAATAGACCCCCTCCACATCAGATTAGAAGGTATCCCCCCTCTTTGTGGCTTGTGATTTTCCTGTTCTGTCTTCCTCCAGGCGTTAGGAAGTGGCCCTGACCTTGAGTGAAATGTGAAAGGTTTAAATATTAATATTTCTGAAACCCTCAGGGTAGACTCAAGCACCTGCTTCCCCTGTAGCAGCTGTCCTAAACGGTTTTCACCAGAGGGACACCATTTTTCTCTTGAAACAAAATATTTCATCAAAGTCGGATTTTAATTGAGCCAGGAAGCCTTCCAAGTTATTTCATGTTCACTGGGTAGCTTTCTCTGTCCTTTGGAGGCGAAGAGGAACCTCAGAATGTCCTCATTTCCTGGCTCTTTCCTCCTCCACCCTGTCAATGCAAGTACAGTATCAAACCTTGGCAAGTGGTGTGTTATCAGCACACAGGACAAAGGTAAAATCCCATGTCTCTTGGGACTGAAACAGGAAAAATGCTAAGAAAGGGCTGAACTCACTGAATTCCCTGTAAAATAATCCCTGAGTGAAAACAGCAGCTTTTTTTTTTCTTTTATTTTTTTGGAACATGTGCTTCTTATAAATACAGTCCAGAATGATAAACTGTGTATACAACAAAGAAAGCTTAGAAAATGTGGTTGGTAGTATTCTTCGGTGAATGTATTTAGGCTCTTTTCATTTCAAAATAATTCCTTTTCAGCATTTATCAAAGAAGATTCTTTCACAATTATTTAAATGCATTTTTCTTTGCAGGCATTGAATTGTTTACTCAATGTTAATGGTTCCTCACAAATATTTACTGAATCGCTCTGTAAACTGTCCTCTAAATTGGACCAGAAGGTTCAAAACTCTAACTCCCCTTTGGTATCTAGCCTTTTAAGGTAATCTCTCTGCTGGTATCTGTGCAATTAACCGAGAGCATTTTAATAACAGGGAATAATAATTGCTGTTTGCTTATCATTGAGAGGAATTTCCCCCTGTGCATTTATTTTTAGGAATACTAGGTTGTTATGTAGTTCATGGTGATACTGATAAAGACTTTAAAATTACCACATGGGAGATTTTGGCAGGCGAGGAAGCAGAATTTGCAGTATTTTTGCTCATATTTTGTAGAGAATTGAGAATCTTAAATTCCTCCAATTGCTGATAATGTGAGAACTGCTGGAGTAAAAGGTGTTTACATAGATAGTCATAAATCTATCAAAATGTTTCTGTGCAACAAAATATATGGAGATGACCAAATGGTCAGGCGATAAAAACCCAAAGCATATGCTTTTGCTACTCTTTTCAGGGAAAAGGTTTTGTCATGGACATAAATTAATTCCTCTGCAGATCAATCTGGGGGGGAAAAAAAAGGAAGTGTGTTCATTTGCATTCAACTATTTTAGTGGGATGTTCTTTCCATATGTATTTTTCCTTAGGAACAAAACACAGCCAGTTCTATAAATTTTAATTGCAACATGAAGGAATTATACCTGTTCCTACTCTAGCATTTACCTCAGTTCTAAGTTCAAACTTTCAAGCCTATTAATTAGATTCCAGAGATCAAGAACTGTATTAAATAACCTCGGTATATATATATATATATATATATTTGTGAGAGTATAACTGCAATTAATAGAACAGAAACATTAAATCATTTCTTAGTTACTGCAAAGATTCATCAGTTTAAACACTGAAACTCAAGGGGTTCTTTGTCATCCTTCATCTGGGAAAGTAAATGTGACTCCTTTGGTTACAGAGGTTCAAAGCCAGAATGAGAGAGTTAGTTCACCAATGTCATTGTTGCTGGAGGATTGGGCGGGTGGAATTCCTCTGCCATTAGTGGGAGTGGGGTTCTTGCAATATCTTCAGACAAGGAATTTTCTAAGGCTCACATGGGAGACTAAGTTTGTGTGTATGTGTGTGTGTGTGTGTGTTTGTGTGTAAACTTACACCCCTTGTTTGCAAAGCCCCATTGTCTTTAAACCAGTACAGTGGGGCCTTGACTTACGAGTTTAATTCGTTCCATGACGGAGCTTGTAACTCAAATTACTCGTATGTCAAATCAAAAAGTGAACGAGTGAGACACGTGATGCTGGGCTGATGTTGTGGCGTTCACTGTGATGTTCGCTGGTTCGCTGCGCCAACTAGCAGTGGGGTATCTGAAGCTGGCTCGTAACCCGAATTTTAGCTCGCAACTCAAAGCAGAAAATCGGCCGAGAGATGGCTCGTATCTCAAAAAACTCGTTAGTCGGGACACTCGTAAGTCAAGGCCCCACTGTACTAGAAAATGGGCAGCTGGGGGTTCAGTAGAGCCAAAAGCAAAGCCAGTGTCCAGAGCATGTGTTCTATGGTGGAGCTGGGTCCAATCTAGCATCACGCTAATCACCGTCCATGTATGGGTCCCACATGGCTGTGAGCTACATGGGAAAACCCAGGGGAGCACGCCCCCTGCAACAGGAATCCCAAGAGAGCAAGAGGGCCAGGAGCACAAGAGAGAGCAAGACAGGGAATTCTCTTTGCTCAGGAGTTAAGTATCTCAGATTTCATGTCCTTGCAGTGGCCACACCTATTCTGGCCAAATAAACCACTCCCAGGTGTGACTGACAGGTCAGCATCTTCTCACATCACCCGGACCTTACTGGGCATGTGTCTATTGTCCAGTCCATTCTACCAGTGATCTGCAGGGAACAGACTTGGAGAATGTGAACTGCAGCTTCCTGGCAAAGTTGTACAAATGGCAGGCCTATGTCATCTAGTCTCCCCTTTACTCCTTTCCTGTTAGGCAATAACCAGGTTATTATAATAGTATCATCATCACATCAATTCATTTACTTTCATTTTCATTCAACAAAAGAGGGGTGAGCCAGCTTCCCTGATGGGTGCTGGGATTACTCTGGTGAGCAAAAGCAGGTCAGCTCCCTCTCTCATGAGTTGCATGTTGGAGAGAATTGACACAATCAGATTTGCATTTTGAAATGCTTCACCTCATTTATTTTGAAGATTTAAAGATAATTCTAATATTCAAGTCAGCTCTTGGAATAGAACCTTTTAATACCAGCAAAATGAAAAAAATGACATGTATTCAGAGACGGGATTATTGCTTAAATTTCCAAGTGTTCTAATGCTACTACAGTTTATATTATTTTGTGTTGTAGAAATTAAAAAGCAGTGATATCACAGATTTCCCCCTTCACTCCTTTTCTGGATTTATTTACTGTTCTGGTGAAAGCTAACATTTTTGCTGGCTTAATTAATAATAGTTCTTTATGATGGATACTAGAGGCCCAGTGCATGAAATTTGTGCACTCGGAGTGGGTGGGGGTCCCTCCGCCCGGCCTGCACCCTCTCGCAATCCATGAGCCCTCGGACATCCTTAACAATGCCGCAGAGGTGGGAGAGGCTCCCACCACCACTGTTGCACTTGCCAGCTGTAAGCCTGGCTCAGGGCTTCTGGCTGAGCGGTGCTCCCCCTGTGTGAGCGCACTGACCACCAGGGGGGAGCTCCTGCATTGAGCTTCTGCCCCCTGGTGGTCAGTGCGTGTCATAGTGACCGGTTGTTTTGCTGTTCGGTCGATTTGCATTTTAGCCTTTTATTACATAGGATAATGGGTAAGGATTCACAAGCAGTTGGAACTTACTCTCCTTGGTCATTGAAAATTTATTCTTGTTGATTCAAGGGAAACAGTCTAGTTAGCAAGGACCCAGTCATTTCCTGCCAAATCCAGTCATCGACAGAGTTCTGCCCCCTCCTCATCCTGCAGGTGACATCTAAGTTCACCGACAGGAAAGGTCTGGCAGCATTTACAGGATGGGTTGGGGGAATCCTCTGGCTGGGGTGGGTGAGCACTTAATGAGATGTCCTTGGCACTCTGGTCTTTAAAGGCTATTGGCTTCAATCCTTCCTAAATTCTGCTGCTGTGTTCACATGGCCTCTCTCCACCAGCTCTCCACCCCTAGTCTCACTCCACATACTGTGTCCTTCTTGCTCCAACCAAGAGACGCCTTCAGGTCAGTTGGCCCTCTCTTTGCCCTTCTACACCAGGCTGTGGGGGTGGGACTGTCACAGGCTCTTTCACGTTAACTCCTAGAGCATTGGCCGGTGAACGGTCTCTAGGAACACTTGCTGCATGGGCTTTCAAGCACAGGCCCCTCTGCTCAGGGATCGCTTCATAGAATGTAACTGAGGCAGGGTGTGGGGCGGAGGGTTGGGAGAGAGCATGCATATAAGGCATGGGGTGAGGCGGTGGGGGCAGAGTCAGGGGCAGCTGGGGCTGTTGTAGGGCAGGGCTGAGGAGTCTGATAATAAACACTATTGCTCTCCTCTCTCATTTCTCAGCACTCCACTCCCATCCAGAAAGATTTTTAATCTCCTCTCTTCCCAGCGGAGAAAATTTTTCCCCCCAGACCATTATTTATGAATACATTTATATGTTGATTACTTAGGACTTTGGCACTTGAACCTCAGCAAAATCTTTTATCTGCTAAAGAGCCTGCCCGGTTCCCATCTGGCTCCTCTCTTTCCCTCCCTTCTCCCTCTTTTCTCTTTCCCCTCGCCCCTCCCTTTCTCCCATTTCACTGCTCTAAAAAAAAAAAAAAAAAAAAAAGAAAAGAAAAGAAAAAAAGAGCCTGCCCTTTGCAAATCAGAAGAGTCTTGGTTGTCAAGACTATTGTCTCCATTAGGAGTTTTAAAAATTGTGATTTAGAAATGCAGGTGCTTTACTTGTTCTGACTGTATTTTGCCCACTCTTTAGCCAGTGGGTTGTGACCCCTTTGGCGGTCAAGCGACCCTTCCACAGGGGTCGCCTAAGACCATCCTGCATATCAGATATTTACATTATGATTCATAACAGTAGCAACATTACAGTTATGAAGTAGCAAAAAAAATAATTTTATGGTTGGGTCACAACATGAGGAACTGTATTTAAAGGGCCAGAAGGTTGAGAACCACTGCTGAGTTTAGGTTTAGGCCATAAATCTCAGCCTCAAATTCAGTTTTAAAAGAGGAAAAATGGGGTTGGGTAGGGAAGGTGGAAAGAGAAGGAAAGT